GTCACCAATTGCTATTACATGCATATAATATATATGTATGTGTGTGTATATACAACTGGATATATATATATGTGTGTGTATATATATATAGTGTATATATATACATATATTCCTAAATATAACCTGTCCAGTCCACATAGTGTTGATAGTGTTGCTTGGCACTGGACTACCAACTAATGTGTCCTTCCCAGAGGAACACCACCTCTCTTGCTCCCACTGTTCTTCAGTTGCTTATGGCTATGTAGGGTTAAGGCTTCATGGGCTTTTCCCCATCCAGTTAGATGTCTATGATGTCATCCTTGTTCAGCTCATGTTTGTGCACATAATTCCGTGTAGAAATATATAGTTTTATTGAACCTTTCTCATCTGGGCTGATGGTGCTCCCTCCAGGAGTCAAAAACCCCATAAGAACAACTCAGACACCAGACACGAGAAGTCCTCTTTCGAGCTGTCCAAAAGTCTCCCAAACCATAAAACCTTTTTCTGTTTAACTTGGTTACTCCCCAGACGTGGAGTAAGGTAAGTCCCCATCGCTGTGTATCTTTTACAGGGCTGTAAAACAGGGATTTTAGAGAGGAAAAACAAATAAACTGAAACATCATGCAAAGCCCCTCCATCCTCTGAAAAAGAACCGTGAATTAATAATGTGTACACTTCATCTGGACCTTCAAGTACAGGCAGCCACCAAGGGTTGCCATCGGCCTACACCACAACAGAGGTGTGGCAGAAGTAGTTGAAGGAAAACCAGAGGGGGGATGAAGGACGAGAGAGCTGGTGCTTTGAGAAGTGCAACTGCCGGAGCAGAAGGCGGCCTGAAGGCATCACTCGTGATGAGCAGCCTCCACGGTGTGGTTCGTTGACACAGAAAGATAGTGGGGGAGTCAGCCATAGCACTGACATGTGTCACGGCTCCAGGCAGCAGACTCAGCACGGAGTTCACACTTAGAAAACGAAGATAATGAGGGGAGCAGTCCCTTGCAATGCACCCCTAAAGAGGGAGGGCCACCGGTAGGGCCACAGCCAGACCCAGCATCCAGTCAGTATCATGTTTGTAACGCACTGAACCCCCTGGAAGCCAACTGTGTCTAAAGAGACTGCATTGAGCCAGATAGGTGCCTTTGGCCCTGTTCTGAGTCACGAAAGGCAGGCAAAAACAAACACAGCCAGTGCGGACCTCCTGTTATTTTTAACTATGTTAAAGTTAGCACTTGGGGAGTGCACTGAGAACTTATTAAAAGGTCGGAACCAGAGGCAGCAAGGATGGCTCAACGGGTAAAAAGAACTCTTGCTTCTCTTCCAGCAGAGCAGAGTTTGGTTCCCCGCATCCACGTCAGGAGGCTCACAAACACCTACTACTCCACTTCCAGGGGGTAGCTAAAGCTTCTAACCTCCTCCAGAGTTAGCGCATGCTCATAGTCGCCACAGACACACACAAACATGTAGTTAGAAAATAATAAAATAACCATGCTTCTGTGAGTATATAGATAACACAAATTGGACTTGTTTTTTTCTGTTATCTCTTTGTTTTCTTTTTCTTCTTAGTTTTATTTTTACACTTTGGGGCAGTCACAGAGGTAAGGGTGGACATGAAAAGACGGGGAAGTGATTGTGATCGATGTGCATGATGTGAGAATCAATAAAAATGTTATGTTGGAATAATAATAATATAAATTTTAAAGGAGGTTGGGGCATACCTGATTCCCCTTCCTGCCCAGAAGTCATTCCTTTCCTTTCTCCAATCCTGATGGCTGAATCTGGCTTGTCCCACAGTCCCTTTCTTCCAGGGACATCCAAACCTGTTCCCCCACAAGCTGGTTGCAGTGCATGTGTGTGGAAGTCTACCACAGCCTTTGGGTTTAAATGGCTTTTCACTTTAAGTATTTATTTGAAAGAGTAATCAGACAATTAACCGGAACAGGACAATCACACAATCAGTTCTTGAACTACTTCAGCCCTTCGGGGAGGGTTTAATGACAGTTCCAAAGAACTGAAGCTTCAATGCAGAGAGGTAGGGACAAGACAGAAATGGCGAGGGAAACAAAGAACAAAGATTAGAATAAAGATCTCGTCATTGAAATATACAAACAATAACAAGAATTACCCACATGATTATAGCAAGTCTTTCCTTTTGCAATGTGAGTTCCTGGCAGAATGTGAGGGAAACTGGACTCCACTGTCCCAGTTTCCCAAACCAAGGAAATAAAATGTTTCCCAAACTTTCAATTTTTCCCTTTCCAAGTACTAACCGGGCCTGACCCTGCTTAGCTTCCTAAGCAAAGATGTGTTGGAGGTCATTATGGCTGAAGACCAAACTTTCAATTTTTAATCTCTGAAGACTAACTTTATGTACTAAGAATAGCGACTATGGCTGGAGAGCTGGCTTAGGGGACAAAAGCACTTGCTGCTCTTGCAGATCTGGCTTTGAGTCCCAGCATCCATATAGCAGCTCACAGCCTTGTTTTCTGTAGCACCAGGTTCAAGGGATCCAACGTTCTCCTGTGGCCTCCATAGGCAGCAGGCACACAAGTGGTACACAAGCAAACAAGCAGGCAAAACACTCAACACAGTGAAAATAAATAAATCTTAAAGAGGAAGAGCAGGCAACTTCTTAGATTTATGGTACACCAGAGGCGGCATTGTACTTTTTTAAATAGTGGACCCAAAAAAGGTGTAGATAGGCTTCATTGCATTTTGTTTTAGCTTTGAGAACTGGATTCTTATTTTCCATCATCTTAAAGCTACTGGGAAGAAAGTTTAAAGGATTAGTAAGCAAATGCTTCAGTTGATAACAAATCTAGTAAGAGATACTGATTTTCTCAACATTGTACCTCAGGACACTTAATAATATTTAGGTTTTAAAAAAAACAACTAGTTTTATACTAAAGTCCAGATTGGCTGTGAACTCACAATTATACCTCAGTTTCCCAAATTTTGTGAATACAGGTCTGTACTGTAATGGCCAGCTTAATATATTCTCCACTGTGCAAACTTAGTACCACCAATCCTTTTAAATCAAATTTTTCTTTGCAATTTCATAACTGTATATAATGCATTCTTATTATTCTCTTCCCATACCCTCTTTCACTCCTGTCTCTGTGTCTGTCCCTTCCCCTTCCTTCCCAACCAATCCTTGTCCAAGATTTGTGAGTTTGGACTTGCTTTGTGAACCATCAAGTTTAGCCAAAACCATCTGTGTGAATTGAGACTATCTATTGTAGCCCAAACTACATCAACCATAACTTTTTCGTTTCAGGAACTTCGGGGAGAAGGAAAAGTATATTGACAGGCTATGAGAAACGTTCTCTCTTTCCTTCATATGTTTTCTGACAACCAGCTACCACGAGTAACTATCATGCAATGTGGTTAGTGAGGAACAGAGGTGCAGGGTACAGTTTCTGTCTTGTTATTCTTCTGGCGTTGATTTGTGTCCTGTGCTGACATCATTCTAGAGATTGCTATCCGAAGGGCACACAGACAACAGAAATGACTATACAGTGGTAACAGCATACTGAAAAAAAAAATGAATAACCACCACTGATTTTCCCATCAGCTAAGAACGCCTTCCCTTCTGATGTTCATGATGAAAAGGTTTACACACAGATAATGCCATAATACTATGCCCACATTTCCTTATGCAAATAAACACAATTCTGGGTACTTTTATAGACTTAAGTTAGCTAAAATCCGGGATGCTCTTTGGTTCTCTTATTTTTCATTTGTTACTGAGACTAGCTAAAGTATCAGAAAAATTCTTAGCAGATTTTTTTTTACTCATGAAGTGATAACGATTCAACCCACCTAGTTACTGTATAAGATGCTAAGCATGCATGCTTCAGCGGGATAGAGGTTTTTCTAAGAATTTGAATTGCTTGGAAAACTATATTGTGTAGTTTTTAGAGAGTAGGGTGAAGCGGTTTTAACTGGCCTTGGTGTTTTCCAATCTTAAATTTTGTTTCCTAAAAGAAAAGTCGATAATTAAGAAATGATTGTTCCTCATCAAATAAGCCGAACATACTATAAACCAAAGAATAAGGAAAGACAAATAGGCCTTTTCTGAGTTAACAAAGAGGCAACGCCTGGAAATCTGCTTATTTACTTATCAAACCTCTTCTCATCCTGCAGGTGAAGGCATCTACCAGAAAGCTAACAGCAAGGCGGAAGCTGCTCAGTCTACCCTTGTTTCAGAGCTTAGAAGTCCTCTGAGGAAGAATGCTTTCCCCGTTAAACAATCCCGGGACCTCATCTAAAGTCTCAGGTGTACCTGCGGCCAACATGTCTCCCCAAAGTCCCAAGGGCTCTCCCACCTAAGCCAGGAGAAGGTGCAGTTTGGTGTCGCTCGCCTTCCTCCCCGCCCCCGCTTTGGTGCCCTACTGAGGGCAGCTAGGGCACTGCCAACTCCTTTTATGGTGAGAGGATGGATTCTTCGTCGTCTCCCCGCCCAAGCCTGGTACCTACCCACCCGTCCACCCACGCGTCTGCCAAGTCTCACCCGGAGCGCTCGGGCGTACACACCAACAACCACACACCCACATATCTGCTCTGCCGCTCCCGGGTAGAGTCCTAAAGCAATTGTCCTGATAGCCCAAGACCCACAAGCTCGGTCCGCGGGTGGAATGTGAGAGAATTAATGCCCTCTATCCCGCAGAGAGACGTAGACCAGACCCTGATCCCAGCAGCATCCCCACTAAATGCTCAGCTTAGGAGTGGCAATAGCGCGTGCAGGGACTTCCCTGGGGCTCGGCCCGGGTGCTCTCAGTACCTCTGAGAGAGGGAAAGCACTGGAGCCACCTCCCCAGCGATGGCACCCCCTCGGGTCCCTGCAAACCTCCCCAGGCTTTCCGCTCCGCCCTCTATCACCAGGCTCCCGGGCGGTGCCATAGAAAGACTCGCCCCGCCCTTTCCATGTCAGCCAATGGGCGCCCGGGCCGCGCGCTGACTGTCTCCGCCTTCGCCAGGGAAACTTGCGGGGAGGAGAAAAGTTTGTACAGAGTCCAGGGCGAGAGCCAAGCTCGAAACCCGGCAGCGGGAGAGGAAGATGAGCAGCCCCAGATCAGAGCCCCAGGCCCAAGGGACCCCGCGCCGCCCCCAGAGCACAAGGAGCGGCCTCAACGGCAGCCGCCTTCTCCGGTAGCTGTCCCTTCAGCCCGCTGCTGGGGAGGAGGGAACCCGGACCAACGCTCCGTTCCACCTGCACGCGTGGCGGCACACCTGGACGCTGACCTCCCACACCAGACCTGCGGGCTCTGCAAAGCTGTGACTCGCCCTGGGGAGAGGTAAATCAACCAAAAAAAAAAAAAAACCAAGACCCAAGACCCTTCTTCAACTGAGCCTCGCTTGCTTTCTAAGCTTCTTGAAAAGCTCTGACCTCAGTTCCGGAAAGTTGGCAGACCCGGTTCCGAGGAGGGCAAAGTCTTGACAAGTTCCGCACTGAGCGGGAAGAAACTGATGGCTGAGGTTAGAGGCAGGTCCAGATCGTCTGCGGTCTGAGCCTTGGGACGCACCCAGCTCCTAACCCCACCCTACAGGTAAGTTGGGATGAAGGTTTTTGCATGGATGGCACAGGAGCCAGGCTCTTTCGGGGAACCAAAGAATAGAATGTGCTTCCCAAATGGTCCATAACTTGTTTCAGTGAGAATTTTATCTACTCCATCGGCAATAGCACTAGCAAGTCACTTTTCCCTTGAGAAGGGTCTTGCTCATCTTGGCGATGAGTTGGGAGTGGGGGCGGTAGGCGGGAAAGGCAGTTATCAGTTTATAAATATTAATGTCAGCAGAGTGGTGCTCTTGGCAGGACGCATTCAGAGCTTGGGGATTTGAGTAGCCACAGTTAGTAAGAGGCTGCAGATCAGGAAGTGGGATCGGGTTGCTCTCCCTTGTCTCATCGACATAGCATTTTTGGCCATGGGTCGAACACCTTGCAAGTGGTAAAGGGCTCACCTCTCCCTTTCCTGTCTTTCACCATCTCCAGATCGAACCGTGAGCCCCAACGCTGTGAACAGTATACTGACCACCAGCATGTCCATTCCTGGGGTCAATGCGTCCTTCTCCTCCGCGTCGGAGAGGCTGAACAGCCCAGTGACCATTCCCGCAGTGATGTTCATCTTCGGGGTCGTGGGCAACCTGGTGGCCATCATAGTGCTGTGCAAGTCGCGCAAGGAGCAGAAGGAGACGACCTTCTACACTCTTGTATGTGGGCTGGCTGTCACTGACCTACTAGGCACATTGCTGGTAAGCCCAGTGACCATCGCCACATACATGAAGGGCCAATGGCCCGGGGACCAGGCACTGTGTGACTACAGCACCTTCATCCTACTCTTCTTTGGCCTGTCGGGTCTCAGCATCATCTGTGCCATGAGCATTGAGCGCTACCTGGCCATCAACCACGCCTACTTCTACAGCCACTACGTGGACAAGCGGCTGGCCGGCCTCACACTCTTCGCGGTCTATGCATCCAACGTGCTGTTCTGCGCACTGCCTAACATGGGCCTGGGCAGGTCTGAGCGACAGTATCCCGGCACCTGGTGCTTCATCGACTGGACCACCAACGTAACGGCCTATGCCGCCTTCTCTTACATGTACGCGGGCTTCAGCTCCTTCCTCATCCTAGCCACCGTGCTCTGTAATGTGCTCGTGTGCGGCGCGCTGCTCCGCATGCACCGCCAGTTCATGCGCCGCACCTCGCTGGGCACCGAGCAGCACCACGCGGCCGCCGCAGCAGCAGTGGCTTCGGTGGCCTGTCGGGGCCACGCGGGTGCCTCCCCAGCCCTGCAGCGCCTCAGCGACTTTCGCCGCCGCAGGAGCTTCCGGCGCATCGCGGGCGCGGAGATCCAGATGGTCATCTTACTCATCGCCACCTCCCTGGTGGTGCTCATCTGTTCCATTCCGCTGGTGGTGAGTGTCTGGGGCTAGGGTCCACTCGGTCCTTCTCCTGCATTCACTTCTCTCCCCTCGCTCCCCACTTTCTCCCTGAGTCCTTGGCGGGGACAAGTTTCCTCCAGGTCTGGACTGGGACCTGCTCAGGGCTTCCCTAGTAGACCCAGGCTTTTCTTCTAAGTCCTGACCCTAAAGACTTGGCGGGTGATTTCCCCCGAGGTCCCCTGAGAGTCTTTCCCCGACAGCATGGGTTCTGAGGTCCCCTGGACAGCCCCCTGCGCTCCCCTCACAGCCTGTTGTTTTGCTTTGTGTCTTCCCAGAACCCTCACTTGCTGGCTCAGTCAGATGGGGGTGGGGACTAAAGGGTTACTTACTCTAGCGCTCCACTCTGTGGCCCCCAGAACATTGCAAACCAAGAGTGATAAGCTCTGTTGAATTCATCCCTTAGGAGAACTGTGGGTTTGGGTGTTTTGATTTCTGTAGGCCTTTTGCTCTTTCCTAGATTATGCAGCATTTTAAAGTTTGAATAGATGAGATGCTTTTTAGTTTAAAGGCCAGACGGAAGAGAAAGAGTGACTTGTTTAGAATAATCTTGAAGCTGCTCCCCACTCCCCTCCCTCAGTCCCTCCCCACCCATCCATCCTCGCCTCCACAGACACACACAAAACCATGTCACGCTTGCGAAGACACTTGAACAGGGTAACGTCCAAATTCAAGTTCCTTATTCTTTTTGCAAGCCAAGAAAGCACGGTGGAGTTGGGAAGTATGGACAAGTTGATGTGATCGGGCGGGCGTTGCATTTTAATTCTCAATGACCAGGAGAGGTCCGGTTTCTCCTCGATGCAGCTGGCTCCCCTTAGGCCACCAGACTCCGATCCCACTACTGTCGTGTTACAGTCGCTTCTAATTTGGGCTTTTGTGGAGTAAGTGTCGTCGGTGCTTTGGTGCACTTCATCTTTGAGGTGACACACTCTTTAAAATTGCCTTCAGTGAGCGCTTACAATATAAACAGAGAGGGGTAGACGCCTCTTAAGGTCTCAGCTTTTGTCTGTTCTTGGTAGAATGCACTAGAAACAGGTCAGTGTTAGAACATGATTCTTCGTCTAGAATTTATCTTGTCCCAAGTTCTGTCTCTCCAAACACTGCATTCGTGGAAATTCTAAACCAACTATTCAAAAAGAAATTACTATCTATGTTTACTGGGACCAAGTGGAAATAAACTTAATAGGCTATTATTCTTTTCTTTCTCATATTAACACTACTAGGGATCTTTGATATAAAATATTTTTATCTCTTACCAAAGTGACTGTAAATGGAAGAAACTTAGTGGCGGCTGAGAGCCAGCATACAGTAGCTTCTTGCCAATCTGTATAAACAGAAGTCAATATGACTGGCCAGCAGGGCCTGTAAGCCATCCCAGAACCTAATGTAATTTACAGAGTTAAGTCACACTTGAGCCACATAAATATATTTTACTGTCTGCAATGTCAACTCAAAATAAAGTGAGAGCTGGAAGGGAAGGACCCTGCTTCTGCCTCTAGCCTCCCTGTCTGCTACTTCACGGGACGGTAAATGACCAAGTGAGCAGTTGTAATTCACAGGACGTCCACTTCGTGGAACTGAGGAATGGAGCTAGGCCATTAGTAACCATGCACATACTTTCTAGAGGTTTTGGTTACACGTGAGCATGTCATGCTACTGATTCACACGAAGCTACTCATAAAGTGTTCTCTGTCATCGGCAGAGGCCTACAGAACTAATTCTACGGGCTGACCCGCCCCTCAGGTTCAGGGTCATTTATGACAAAGCATTACGACCTGGAGCTATATTTATGGCTGGCAGGTTAATTACATTTTAGCGAATGAAAAATACCGTCCAGTCTAAAGGAAGTCAGAACTGGGTACCGATGTTAAGTAACCTCTATTTGAAAGCTGGGACTGACTCAGCCAAGCTCAGCTAAGGGCCGCTCTTGTTGGTCAGGAGCCTGAATGCTTTTGTGAGAAAGAACTAATCAGGAAATAAGAGCAGCTTCCGATTCTAGCCTTGAGTTTGAGCTACAAAAAAAAAAAATCTACTTTTTCAGAGGCCAGTTTAAATTAAAATCTGTGGCAAGTGATGGGAAGCCATAGAACCCACATACTCACCCACGATTCAGTAATTATTGAAATAATCAAAAGAAACTTTCAGATATCGTCTTTCTTGGCTTATTTTACAGCCCCGCCCCCAGGTTTCTCATATATTCAGAGAAGAAATGAGATTCAAGCTCTGAGAACTCCCTGCCGGTGACAGCGGTTGGGCAGACTTTCAGTCCGAAGTGGAAGATGAAGCACCTGCTTTCACATTATTGAATAAAATTGAGTGCTAATTCCACTGGAGGAAATGAAGCCCTCTGGGTCATTTTCAGGGCTTTCGAAAGGCTACCTGGCCTTGCAAGCACAGCTTGCTTGGGCTTCGAGAGAGCTACATACAATACAGAGGGAAGACAGAGCAGGCAAGAGTCTGCCTTCTGGACCCGTGGGAAGAGGCCAGATTAGCTCTGACAGCACAGTTGATAATATATTTAATATGAAAAGCAAATTTTAATTTGTTGTGCAAAATGGAGCCTTGAAAACTAAAGTTGAGGCAGGCAGAGAATTCCGCGGTGGACACAATGGATGTGCCAAGCCTGTGGAGTTCTCCGCGGGTCACAACCAGCGGGCACAGAAAGCGTGCGCACACTCCTGTGCAGCACAAACAACATTTGGTCGGAAGACGGTTTTTGTCATCTTGTCCTTTCTGCTATTTATAACTCGTCGTGGGGTTGGCTTTGTTTTGTTTTTTCAAAGCAGGAGAAGCTAAAGAAACGAAAGTACATGCTTAAGATAAATATCTTGCATTCTGTAGGAACATGCCATCAAAACTAGATCGATTTCTGGTACTTAATTTTGCAGTTCGAATACTAATGTTGAGATAACAGTTCTAATCAGATCTTCTGCCTCGGGGCTACAGAGCTCGAGTGTCAGGTTTGGAACTGCATTTCCCTCCACACAAAGGCAAGCCACGGGCATATTTACTGCTTATTTGTTGCTTTTTGTTCTTCTTCCTCTGAGCTACCAGTAGTACGGCAAATTAATCATCTGTCTTGGTCAGGTAAATTTACGTCCTTAGGGAAACCATTTCCTGTGTTTCTTTGCTTACTGTAAATAAGGTGTCGCTATAAAGGCATCAGCAACAGCTTATAAAAGCAGATAAAACTGTAAGCAGGAACTGGAAGGGGGCCCACTAAATGATCATATGAACAAAAAGGCGCATGCCCAGGTAAAAGTAATTGATTATTTTAGATGCCACTATAGTGAAATCAAAGACATTTGATCCCTTTTCTAATAAATGTAGCTAATTTTTTTAAAAGAACTTCCTAGAAGCGATTTTTGAGTCACAGCTTGAAATGGCAGGCCTTTTAGAAGTGCTGGGGTGACTGCAGCCGAGCACATGGAAACAGTTTCCCAGAACCCAAGGGCTCGGTGCAGTCTTCTCAGTGAAGGTTCCACCCACTCAGCACCTCAGTTTCCCCAGGCACCAATGAAGAACAGCGACTACCTGGGTGGCTGGGAGTGCCTCCTTCTTCAGTTCTTCTCATCTGCTTTACTGGCATCTCAAGCTTTGCTTTTATTACACATGTATTACAAGACTTTTTCTTTTGAAGTGTTGAAGCTGTGAATTAGGAGGAAAAAATCTTTTACAGTGTAGATCGATATTAGCCACCAGGGATGAAGTAACTTGCACGCGGTGGATGGCCAGGGAGTGAGCTAGAAGGACACTGAATACCGCCACTCAGTCAGGAACATTTTCCATGACCCTGTCTTTAAAAGGGGGGGGAGTGGTAAGAACTGCTAGTAACAGCTGTGTCAATTCTGGACTCTTCACAAGGCCATGAGATAACAGGGTACACAGAGACAATTCCATTCGTGTGCCTGAATACAGAACAAGTAGCCTGCATGCTCAGATCCAGTTGCAGGGCCTGCCGTGTACTGGATCGCATCTCAATTCAGGCAACTAATTATTGCGCTGGTCTAGTCGAGTCCAACATTTCAGTCCAACGTTCTCTTCAAACAGACTATTAAGTGGGAAGTACGTGTTTTAAAAGCAGCCATGAACTCTATCCCAAAGCTACCTTTCACCTGAGCTGTCTGTGTAGCCCAGAGTGGCCATGTTTCCACATCTATATTAAAAGGGAAGTAGTAAGTGACAAAACAAATGTTAAATCCCAGGCCCTATACTAAGCACTTTAAGAATTTACATACATCCCGAACTGGTGGTGTTCACCTTTAATCCCAGCACTAGGTAGGCAGAGGCAGGCAGAGCTTTGTGAGTTCAAGAACAGCCTTACTACACAGCAAGTTTCAGGCCATTCTGGGCTACAAAAAGGGGCCCTAACCTTTACGTATAAATGGTAAAGACCACAGCCAAAACATGGAGACGTTTGTTTGGTGACAAATCATGGGCATTCACCACACTACCATATGCCCTCCCATTAACTTCCCTGCAGTTGCCTTCTAGTTTTTATCACACCCTCTCCCAGATCTACTTTGGTGCTCCTAGGCTGATGTCTAGTCCGTCTTCAGTGTTCAGAACCCTGGAGTCACTGCCAATAGCAGGCAATAGTTGCATCCACCAAGTCTGCAGTTGCTCATCGTCAAACAGCAAGAAAGTTAGGGGCCTTGTTTGTATCCAGGAAGGTTTTCAGAATTCGTCCCCCCTCTGACTCAGACGTTCTGTTTCATCAGCAACACATGCTGCCATACTGCAGACTGCCCGAACTTATTTATTTATATGACATCTAGGGCTTGCTGGAGAAGGAGCGTAGAAAAGTGCTGCTGTGGGTATTCCTGTCGAGCCTGTCACTGTTGTTTAGGGACAGGAAAGCAAGAGGTCTTTTCTGTGTTTTGCTTTATGTTGAGTTTTTTATTTGGTTTTGTTTTGGGGTTTGTTGTTGGTGGTGATTGGTTGGTTGGTTGGTTTTTCAAGACAGGGTTTCTCTGTGTAGCTCTGTCTGTCCTGGGACTCATTCTGTAGAGCTAGTGGTGGCTTTTAAAGTGAAGCCAGAGCTGCTGTGTGGGTTTTTTTTTTTTTTGAGCTGCTGTGTTTTTTCAAGCGCTATTAAATGCCTCAGGTTTTGTTTTTGCTTCTTTTTCCTTACTCTACTCAAAACTAAGCTGAGACTAGGAAGCAAAGTCAAGCCCATCCATTTCGGTTCTCTGAAAAGAATTTCACTGACTTCTGAGAATTTTTATATGAATGTAGAATTGGGATGTATGTACTGAATTTATTCTGAAGCTCTGGGAACTAGGCCTGAGGCCTATGCCTGCTAGCCAAGTGCTCTCACCCTGCACCTCCCCTAGCCCAGAATGTGTGCTTTATACTTCAGGCTTCTCCATATACTGCCCCTGAACGACACTAAGTGATGAGATTCAGGGGCCTGTGCTAATTCTAAGCCCTAGTCCCCATAGAAGTCTTTAAAAAATTACAGCCTCTTTCATTCCCTTCTGCGGTAGTCCAATTCGATTATGGCTGCAGATACAATGAAATGCAAAGGTGCTTTCTCCCTTGCTCCTTGTTAGTTTTGATAATACAAAGGTTAATTTTTCACAACATTGTCTTTTTTTAAATATCACAGAAATTTGTAAACAAAATGTGAACTACGGGTTTTTTTGTTGCTGTTGTTTAAGTGTTCAGAAATTTCCTCTTTTCAGGGGTAACTGTTTCCTTTGAAGTTGTGGAAAGCCAACCAGCAGAAAAACGTGTTAACGTTAATATATAATATATATAATAGATGATAACACATTTTATATATATTTATATATATATATATATATATATATATGAAATTCAAAGTCCAAACTTAACCAAAACTATTCTGAAAACTTCTTGTAAAGTACCTGTGCAAAATGCATCCCTAGAGCTGCTGGTTACTGCTGCTCCAAAGTAGAGCAACACTGCCCTCTAGAGCTTGAAGTGTCAGGTTCACATAAACCCTACGACAGACCGGGCTTGCGCATCACATAGGTTCAGGCACCATCACTTCCTTCATCTTTAAAACATCAAGTGTAGTGTGAGTAAAATACAGACCGCAATATTTTCTAGTGATGACCTCACTACTAAGAATAAATTTTAAACTTAAATCCAGCCTGGTAGAACGAATAACGCCTCGTGAAATTCATCTGGAGACTAGAGCCCAGAACAGACCTGATTATCAATAGGATAGGAGAGACCTTGAAAAGTTCAGTGCTTTTAGGTCTCTAGTTTATGCCTGCTTATAGTACTTGGGAAGTTGAGGCAAGGATAGCCAGACTGACAAAAATTACCCTGTCTCAAACACACATACATGCACGCACGCACGCACGCATGCACAACCTTCCAGGGCCAGGTAACAAGCATCAGTTGACAAAGGAGGAACTCTCCCAGCTACCATGGATCACTAAGGACTTTAGTAAAGTGTGTGGAAAAAGGAAACCAAGACACTTTTTTGCGTGCTTGTTTTCGAAGCAGAGGAGGGATGGGTTCTCATTAGAGTAGTCGAATAGTCGCTGAATTCAGCTGAACCCTATCTTGAAGATTCACAAAACTATAGCTCATGGGAACCTATAGGAGGCTTTTTTTTTTAGCAGACGAACTGCATAAAGGACATATACTTCAGAAATAATATGGGGCAGTTTGGGGGAGCGATTGCAGGTGGAAATGTTATTTGGTTGCCTACTGCAACTTCCATGAGAAATGCTGTTGAGGAAATGGATTAGAAAAAAGTCTGGATTCAAGACACAGCAACACCAGATTATTATGGAGAGCAAGGAGTGCCAGGGAGGAAAACTATGCTCTGGCCATTCTGGCTAACAGGAGACATTGATACTGGCTCAAAAGTACTAAGTATTTTCTCTTAATGTAAAGGCATGGGCTCCTTGATAATTTTGTAATGATTACATGGTTAATTGACTTGCAAAATGAGTCGCTTAATATATAGTAACTGACTTGTGTAAATTGCCGTTGGAAAGCAGGCATTACCATGTAAGAGCAGCTACATCACGTCACTGCAAAGGTAAATGCAGCACTTGAAAGTGTTTTGCCAAATTGCTTAATTATAAAATCTCAACGTGGGCCTCTCGTTTGTGCAGGTGCGAGTGTTTATCAACCAGTTATATCAGCCAAGTGTGGTGAAAGACATCAGCAGGAACCCCGACTTGCAGGCCATCAGAATCGCTTCCGTGAACCCCATTCTGGACCCCTGGATCTACATCCTTCTGCGGAAGACTGTACTCAGTAAAGCCATCGAGAAGATCAAGTGCCTCTTCTGCCGCATAGGTGGGTCCGGCAGAGACGGGTCAACGCAGCACTGCTCAGAGAGTCGGAGGACATCTTCTGCCATGTCCAGCCACTCTCGCTCCTTCCTCTCCCGGGAGCTGAGGGAGATCAGCAGCACATCTCAGACTCTCCTGTACCTACCAGACCTAAGCGAAAGCAGCCTGGGAGGCAGGAATTTGCTTCCTGGCGTGCATGGCACGAGCCTGCCCCAAGCAGACACCACCTCGCTGAGAACTTTGCGTATATCAGAGACCTCAGACTCCTCCCAGGGCCAGGACTCGGAGAGCGTCTTGTTGGTAGATGAGGTTGGTGGGAGCGGCAGGGAGGAGCCTGCCTCTAAAGAAAACGCTTTGCAAGTCACGTTCCCCAGTGAAACGCTGAACTTATCTGAAAAATGTATATAGTAGCTACAGGGGTTGGGGGAGCACTGTTTGGGGAACTTTACAAAGTCCTGTGCAATAGACATACACGTGTTTAGCTGTACTCGGAAGGGCTGTCTCTGTCCGCTACTCCTAACAGAACATTGGAGTTTGAGTCTTCAGTGTGGCAGGCGAGTCCCTTGAGTGCCGAGGCCTGATGCGCACTGGCCATCACTCTGATGTGACTCAAGAGCGCAGCGGCTGCAGCTGGCCACCTTTTTCTACTGGATAGGAAGAAGGCAGAAGCTATGCTACTTTCAGAACATCAGAACTTTGGATTTGGCACATACCGGAGTTCCGGATACTGGAAGGGCTCAACCCCAAACTCAAAGGACTATCTTACAGCCGATTTAAGTGTCTCACTAAAGCATGAAATGTGAATTTTTATTGTTAGAAATATAATTTAAGGTATTTATGTTCTTCTCTGTGAGAAGGTTTATTGTTAATACAAGGTATAAAAAAATTATGATACGCCCTCTCCTGCCAGTATAACCAGCTAATATTGTCGATGTTATTTTTTTTCCATAAACAAGTCAGGCCAAAGTATTGAAAACAGAATGAAACTATTATCTATAAAATAGATATAAATTTTTAAAAGAGTTTAGCATAATCAAAGGAAAAAAGATTATTTAAGATGTGAAAATTAAACAACCTAAAATATATTTTCCAAGCTATATATAATGAGAAAAATTAGAAATATAATATTACATTTATTTATCCAGAAAACTGTGATTTCAAGAGTACCTAACATTGATGGTAAATATTTTCAACCTTTGCCCCTACTAATTGGTATTTTTAAAGATGTAACATACTTTTTTAAGGTCTCTAGTTGCCCATAATTGAAGTGTGTAGTATAAAAAGTCTAAGTGGCGTGTTCTGTCCTGAAAGTGTGTGTAGTTTTACTTGCCAAGAGAATGTCTGACAGCATCCTGTCAAATCTAAAGAGGAAGATGGCGCTCTGGCGTGGTTTCCACTCTGTTATATGTGTCAACAGAAACTGACAGTTTTGTGTGACACCCAGGAATACTGTGCCTGTGCCGGGAGGCGCTTTCTCCGAGAAATATTAAGCATGTTTTGTTAACGTGTTCTTGTGAATTGCTTGGTTGTGACCGACTTCTGAGCCTGACTCTGAGGAGGGTATAAGGAGCAGCTGAACCGACTGAAGTTATTCCGGAGATTACAATAAATAATTGTATTCATCTGTGTTCCAGAGCCTAAATTTGGGAAACGGTGTATGGGTTTTTTTTTTTGCTGCTGTTTTGTTTTGGGGTGCCTTCTATATCCTTTTAAAATGAAAGGGTTCTTCTCATTGTTTTTGTTTTGTCTGAAGCGTAAAGACACTTTTATTAGATTTTGAAGAAAAACTCCAAGGCAGCAAGTTGTCAATCTTACCAGCTGCCCAGAGGACAGAAGAGAGAAGGGGCTACGGCTTCTCAGCTAAATGGGCATGGAGGTCAGCCACATGGCAGGCAGCAGCCACACGGTAGGAAGAAGGGCTTTCGAAAGGGAGCCCACTGTACCAGAAAAAGCACACTCGGGCTCTGGCTAGCCTCTGAAAGAACAAGACAGAAAAGACGAAAAGGGACAAGTCACATCTCTCTGCGTGAGGATTTCAACAGGTGGGCAGACCCAGCAGAAGCTCGTGGCAGCCAAGAATCAATTTCACACAGGCAGGGATGCACAGAAGTGCATTGTCTCTAAGTGCAGAGTGGAGACATGCCATGTCAAACACCTGGCCAAGGGACACACCCTCAGGAAGTAGGGTCCACCTTAAACTCTGCTAAAGAAATAGGAAGATTAATTACCCCCTTAAATGAGATGAACATTTTAAAACAGTGCTATTATGAAAATGTCAAGCATAGTATAAAGCCTTATATCTGCTTAGTGGAGAACAAATGGTACTTCGGAACCATGACCCAAGTCACAGACAACTAGAACTAAATGTCACCAGTTTATGTTGCTGTGGGGAGAAGCAATGTTATACTTAACTAGCTCCATGCTCAGTATCCAAATAATTATCACTAACTATTGACATCAACACTTCCTATCAGCATTTTCTCTGTATCAGCATATCGGTATTTCGGAGACAGTAGCCTGAACAAGTCATCAACAGAACCTACATAATTTTTTTCTTTCTTCCTTCCCCTGCTTTTTCTTTTTCCTTTCCCCCTCTCCTTTCTTCTTTTCTTTCTTTCTTGACTGCCTGTCTGTCCATCTGTCTGTCTTTTTTGGCAGAATCTTGCTCTATGGCTCAGGCAGGCCTGTCACTCCTATGGCATTCCGAGATTACAGAAGTGCGCCAGCACACCCAGCAGAGGTAAGACACCCAGATTCAGTAAGACAGACATTGCCTCAGCTTTCCTGGGTGACAGTGAGGCTGCCAGTTTTATGATGGACTTTAGCAGCAGTCTCTAGGCCTGAGATTATGGTTTGCTATTTGCAAATACTTTTTTTCCTGATTAATCGATAACGACCTATCGATTCATCGATTATCGTTATCGATATCATCACCAGGTGGGATTAGAACCCGCGTCCCCTGGCACTAGAGCAGAGCGTTAGGCGCTCCTAGCCGCTGAGCGACGGCTCAAGCTGCTTATTTGCAAATACTTAAAGATATTTAGATAGTGTCAGAAAAGCGAGACACCATCTTTGCAGGCCTGCTGGCTCTGGTATTCAGGTAAGGGTGGCAGGAAAGGAGCATGCAGACCTACCCTCTAAAATGCTTTCTGTCACCATCTGAATGAGTGCCCAACAAACAATGGTTTCAGAAAATGTGTTTCACCTCCATGACCATGATCCACAGAGATCACCATCCCTAGATTTATATATAAATTAATGTATGTATATATAATATATGTACATATAACTTCATTTTTGTCCCTGGGGCAACCACAACTTCACTCGTGAACTAGCATTAGTAATATGTAAGACATATCTCACTCATAAACTAGCATTAGTAATACGTAAGACATATCTCACTCGTGAACTAGCATTAGTAACATGTAAGACATATCTCACTCGTGAACTAGCATTAGTAATACGTAAGACATATCTCACTCATGCTTACTTCAAGTTCAGTACCAAGAACGCTGACTTGGCTTAACCTTGTTTACTGAAATATTCACATACTATGACATTTATTCTTCAAAGTATATATCCTTTAAAATGTTTTAGTAAATTCAACTAAAAAATACATCCATCACTGATTCCCAGTTCCCAAACATTTTCATCATCCCAAGAAGATGATGCATATGCCATATGCAATCAGTCCACACTGTTCTCAGTCCTGGCCCGAGAACCAGTATACGCCTATTGATTTCTCTATTGTGAACTTCGTATACAAAGAAAATAATGCAGTAACTGGCATTTTTGTGGCCATCTTTGTGTTAGAATAACATTTTCACGACTTGTTGATAAGGCAACATTAATCAATACTTTATTCCTTTTTATATCTGAATGATACCCTTTGAAATGGACATACCACTTTTTTTATAACTTTTTTTATAGTTTTTTTTAGATTTATTTATTTATTATGTATACAGTGTTCTGTCTGTCTGTATGTTTGCAGGCCCAAAGAGGGTACCAGATCTTATTATAGATAGTTGTGAACCACCATGTGGTTGCTGGGAATTGAACTCAGGACCTCAGGAAGAGCAGTCAGTGCTCTTAACCTCTGAGGCATCTCTCCAGTCCGGACATACCACTTTTTAAAATCCACACACTAATTGACCAGTGTTGCACTGATTTCACATTTTGGCTACTTTAAATAATGCTAAGAACTTTCTTATGTATGTTTTTAAGACTTTTGGGCTCATAACTGGGAATGAAATTGCTGGTACATACAGTAATTCTAAGTTCAATATTTTGAGGCAATGTTGAACTCTTTTCCACATGACTAAAACATTTTACATTTCCACCAACGATGTATTAAAGTCCTTGATTTTTTTTTGATTTAACACTTCAATGGTAAAGAAAAACAAAAACAAAAATCAAGATGCTTACTGACTCCAGGAAAAACAAAGAGGGGTCCAGGAATGGAAAGATAAATACTAAAGTCTAACTCAATTCTATGTAGCAACCATATACATAGTCCCTAAATATTGACTTTAGAATGAGCCAAATCAAAATGAATTACATGGGAGACAGTAAATATACCATAATCAAGACTTACCTGCAGCAAAAAGAAATGTCTTAACTACTAAAAAATGAATTAAAACACAGTAAGAACATAAGAAATTAAAGAACACCAAGTGCACTTTAGAAAATCTCCCACATTGTTGGCAGAAGTGCAAAATTAATACAACCACCTTGAAAATAAACTTGCATAGCAGGTTTAGGAACCAAAATACGACAAAAAAATATGTCTTAATGCATGGCTTTATAAGATGCAACAGAACTAAACAGTTCATGGGTCACCACTGGAGAACGCAAGGGAACCAACATTAAACAAGGAAGACATGTGTGGGGACATGGACAGAACCAGAGACCACTGCATTAAGGGGAGTAAGCTAGATTCAGAAAGACAAATACTTTTTTTCCATATGCAAACGAGAGAGAGAGAGAGAGAGCGCATCTTAGGGAGTGTTTGTCTGCAGAAGGTGTGGAGTATGAAACTAGAGACTGAGAAGGAAGATACCTTAAAGGAAGTCAAATGAGACAAAATGGACTATATGTAACAAGAAAAAAGAAAAGGGGACAGTTTGGGAGAGGGAAGGGAGAAGGAGGCAGTAAGGAGGAATGAACAATAAGAACAAAGCATAATGGTGTATATATATATGGGGGTGTGTGTGGGTGTATATGTATATATATACACACATATATATGTATATATATGAAAACGCCATAATGAAACCCATCATTTTGTATGCTAACTTCAAATTTTAAATGAAAAAGAATTAGGTCTTTACTCCTAAAAACTGTTTTCCAGAGAAAGAAAATATAGTTGACTCAGAGAGTGTCTCTTTAGTTTCCTGGGACCAAAAGACAAACAGAATTATCACTATCATATGACCTCTAGTGAAAGAATGACCTAGATCGGATGGTTAAGCTCATCAGCTTGATGCTATGTGGAATCATCTATGACACAGGCTTTTGGGTGTATCTATGAGATGTTTCTAGAAGAAACACCCACCCTGAATGTACGTGAGCCATCCCACAGGCTGTATCCTGGACTGAACAGAAAGGAGAAGCAAGCTGGGCACCCGCATTAGCTCCTTCTGCTTTCTGACTGAAGATGTCACATGACCAGCTAGCTACCTGATGCTGCTGACACCCTGCCTTCCACTCCATGATGGGCTGTATCTTCAAATCATGAGCCAAAACAATGCCTTCCTTCTTCAGGTTTCTCTGTGAGGTGTTTTATCCCTGCAACAAGAAAAGCACACCAGACAAAGGCAACCAATAGATGCTAATAAGACTAAGAAGAGATAGCTAGAAATATTTAACTTCCAGAAGAAGTAGTCAAGGCTATAAACCTCCTCCTCTACCCCCCCCCAAAAATGAATCTTAAAAGCCTCCAGAACCAGAACCCATTTATTAGCCATACAAACACAGAAGAAAATTAAGTAGGATGAAATAATCAAAATCTAAAATGTGAAAAATACTAAAGAAAAATGGCTAATTCCTTTTTAAAATAATGGGGACCAGAGGTGGAAGCTAAGTGGTCCCTATTGCTGAAGACACCATGCACTCTGGAAACAGAACCAAGAGACCCCTGAGCTGGGACTGGCCTCAGGACTAGCTTTCCTGGCACCAGAAGGCACCATGGAGGCTTCTAAAGGAGGGAGACAACCAACAGTCCTAGCCAGCCATGATGCCTATGAACCACAGCGATGACCAGCAGGCAATGATAACCCTAAGGATACAGCACCAGCACATATACCTTGGCAGGAACCAACAGCTCTCTAATTAAACTTACGACCCACTCAACAAAAGAGAAATCATGCCTGGCACTGGAAACCTAGTCAATTACCCAGGAATACGAAGTCATGGCTCTTAGAAGAGAACCACCTTCAACCACCACTTTACTAAACCAGCATACTCCTTAACTAAAGTCTAAATGACTTTTAAACAAAGATAAGGGTAGTCTTCACCTCTCATCAAGGAAAATTCTCTTTGTAAAAGATGGAGGGCCACTATAGAAAACCACAACCGATCAAAGTGCAGAGTTGTGGAGCCCAATCCCAATGGATACATCTACAAAACACTCCTGTACCTAAAGCTCAAGGAACATTGAGGAAAAGGGGCAGAAAGATTGTGAAGAACCAGAAGATCAGGCTGGAGAGATAGTACTCAGCTGTTAAGAACACTGGCTGCTCTCGCAGAGGACCTAGGTTCAATTCCCAGCACCCACCTGGCAGCTCACAACTGTTTGTAACTCCAGTTCCAGGAGATTGACACCCTCGCAAACATATATGCAAAAAGCCAATGCATGTAAATTTTTTAAAAAGGAAGAACCAGAAGGTTAAGGAGTTTTTTTCTGAGACTGTGTCTCTTAGTAACATTAGAAGCTACATCAGAAGCCCCACCCACATGACCACCCAAATGCAAGCAGAACAAGGGTGACAGCAGTGGACATGTCAAACTGGACAGAGAAAAGCCCACAGGCCTCAATCCTACACAAGGACTGCTAGCAACTGAGGAAGGCTGGGAGCAGAAGTGTTCTTCCCCAGGGAAGAGCACACCAATTGGTTTTCCAGTGCCAAATGGCCAGCCCTGAAAACATACAAATGAGTAACACTACACAGACTGGACAGGTTATGTTAAAGTGTGTGTGTGCGTGTGTGTGTGTGTGTGTGTGTGTGTGTGTGTGTGTGTGTATACACACAATTAGTGAAAAGAGGCCATGATGGATTTGAAGGAGAATGGGGGGGGTTATGATAGGTTATGAGAGGTTTGGAGGGAGAAAAGGGAAGGAAGAATTGTTGATTATGTTATAATCTCAAAATAAAAAAATGAAAATAATAGTGGGAGAGAAAGGAGACTTTCAAGTAATAAAGAACAGTGAGACATATCAACACAGCTATGAACGGGATCTTTCAGATCTTTAATATTATCACGCAATATCACATAATACATACACTAACCATTTTTAAAACTGAATTTGTAATTAAAAATATTCTCCTAAAAAAAAATCTAGGCCCAAGTGACTTCATGTGTGATCTCTATTAAGAGAAGAAGGGTAGGAGAGATACTTCTCATTTGTATGGGGCTCAGCATCATTCCTATTTGAAAACTGAACATAGACATTAAAATATAAAATCCTCATTGTAGTATTACCAAATTGAATTAAGCAGTACTTAAAATGGATAAGCCATGATGACTAAGAGAAGTCTAGCCCAGAAATATAATTGATTTGGGCTGGAGAGATGGCTTAGCATTTAAAGGCTAGTTAGGATCCCAATCAAAATTTTAAGAAATATAATTGATTTAACATTTGTAAAATAACTGTAACTTATCATAAAAGAGATAATTTAGTTTTATTTTATGCACTTATTTATTTACATACATACTTGCTTATTTTCTGAGGCAGCTCCTGCTGTGTGGCTCCAGCTGGCCTGGATGCCACAATCTTGCCCCGGCTCCCAAGTGTTGAGATGACAGGCATACGGCAGGTCGGAGAGGACGGCTTCTCAACGAACAGCGTTACCAGTCAGACATCAAAAACATGAGCCTCAGCTTCTACCATGTATTACATATAAAATGACCTTAGCAAGAACAAACCTAGCCCCAAAAGCTAAAACTCAAAACATCTAGCAGAAACTACGGAAATTCTTTGTGACTTAGAAGGGCTGAGGAAAACCCTGTATACACACTGACCTTCACCCCAGAACAGTGTTTGAAGAGAACTACAGGAGAGAAAACATTCACATTATCAACTCATCAAGACTTCTATCCAATGTTAGTTACAAGACTGAATAAAGGAACCAAAATTTAAAACGGGAAAATATGAACATGCACTTCCCCCCAAAAGAAATGTCAAGGAAGCCCACGAAAAACAGCACCAGAGACTGGGGTGCAGGCCAGCTGGGAGTGTTTACCCACCCTGGCTTCAGTCCCAGCACCAGGTAAACCAGGTGTGGTCGCATGCCTATAATCCCGACATTTGGGAGGTGGCAAGAGGGACAGCAGTAGTTCAAGTTCATCCTTAACGGCATAGCAGTCAACTACAGAGCAAGTGCAAAGCCAGTTTAGTCCGAATACGTGAAACACTGTTAAAAAAAGAAAAAGAAAGAAAAAACCAACCAAAATTTAAAACGGGAAAATATGAACATGCACTTCCCATAC